ATGGAGCCACCTGCTGAGCACAGGCTGCCGCCCTCGGGAGTTCAGACCGGCTGATTCAAATTTAGGAACACAAATCCAGAAATTAAAAGGTTGCTATCCCACTAAGAGCCAACAGTGTTGCCTTTTTTTTTTTTTTGGCTTTTTTGTTTGTTTTTTGCCTTTTTTTTTTCTTCCCCCAGAGATCTTGCCTAGGATGCCCATCCCAAGAGATGCTGTTTTACACCAGGGCAAGTTGCCTGCACTGTAGGTCAGGGCTGGGTGGTGTAAGCTGCTAGTGCCACATGAGGGATGATGGATCTCCTCTCACACTCCTCACCTTAAAGAAAGAGTCTCAAAAGGGCAAATGGGGCACTGGTTCCTATTGCTCTTGGTGAGATGACAGCGGGGCTGAAGCCTCCTGAAAATCCGGCCACAGCATCTGGCCAATGTGGTGCCTTTTTGTTCAGCAATTTCACAGCACCTACCTCAAAAGGATCTTCGTCCATGACTTGGCCCTCTGAGTGCTAGAGTAACACAAGCAGTAAATAACGATGGAAAGTGCTGAGCTGCTGTTTAATCATGCGGCTTTGGTGTTTTACAGTAATGCTAAAAGTCGGCATAACGGGGAGGATGGATGTGTAACTTCAGGTGATGTAAATGGGTTGGACTCCACCGATGCCCCTGCTCATGGCAGGGCAGTTGGACGAGATGACCTTTAAGGGTCCCTCCCAAGCCAAACCATGCTGTGATTCCATGAAATCAATGGAGTGGCCGTGATTTACACCAGCTGAGGATCTAGGCTAGCTATAAGCTAAGTAGATTTTAGTTGTTATTTGCTGTTAGCTTTGATGCTGATTTGTGCCCCAAAATGGGGGCCTTTTTTTTTAACATAATGACAACCTCATTCTTACTTCTGAACTAATTGACAAAATATCTGTTTTTTAGTAGACTAGGAAAATTTGCCCACGGCATGGCCTTGACCACATGAATGCAGTTGTGCAGTGAACTGCATGCATAACATGGCAGACAAAATGTTCAAGAGAAAAACTGTTGAGATTAAAAGCTGTGAGAGAGAAAAGATCACTTTCTGTGTATACGGCAGATATTACGGCTTTAAATCTGCAGCTTAAAAAGAAGATTGAGACTTTTATCATTAACACTGGTGTTCCTACAAATATCCTCATGTGTTGTCACTCATTGAATCCTCTGGTTGGGGATGCAATTTGAAAAACAAAAAAAAATATAAGAACACTAAAGGAAAATTACATTTCAACTGAGTGCTGATGAGCAAGCAACAGTGAAGGTGTAACACCAATAATTTCTCCATAGGAAAATGATGTGAATAGGTAGGTGGATATAACTAGGACACTGTCGCTGGCTCGTAGTGGTTATTAGCTCAGGTTCAACACTGCTCTCCAGGATGAGGATTTGAAATTGCAGTGAAACGGAGGGATTTCTTATCCTTGACTTTCAAAGGGTGGTTCCTAGGACCCTATCCACACCGGAGCATCAAACCATGCTAGCTACAAACACAATTACATCACAGAATATTTATCTAGAAACAGCCTTTACTACCAAAGAAGTTACAAAGCGCTAGCATGGACAGGGTACCTCTGTAGGAAGGGGGAATTAAGCACGAAAGAGGCTCTTTCACTGGTTGATGGGCAGACCATTAAGACCAGTAAAGAGTGCCGCTTCACTGAGCCCTGTTAGCAAGCTCCCAAAGAGTCAGTGCATGGAAGATGTTTCGTTTTTTGTGGCAAGGAGAAATAAATAGGTTGTAATATTGCACATCTGCACAAAGCTAGCGAGATGTCATTGTGATCATTCATGGGTGGACAAAAAGCTGTGAGAATTTTGGTTCTGCTTAGACCCTACGGTGCTACACACTGTGCCAGAACATGAGAAATAGCACCAGGGGTGTGATCTGGCACTTTTCCTAAAGGGTCCAGCATTTGCATTTGCCTCATATTTAGATGCTCGCAGGTCTTTTACATGGACAGAAAAGGAATCTGATCACGCTAGGCTGTGTTAGCACCAATACGGTCTCAGGTGCCAATTGCTGTGGGTTGTGAGTTTGGACTTTCGTTCTTTTTTTTTTTTTTTTGCACCAGATGTAATTCTGCATGAATCTTACGTTTCTCTTCCTCCTCCCACTACCACCCAGTATGATCTGAACAGCTGCAATGCAAACAACTGAACTGCAGCTCTGAGGATGCAGAGACATGAAACGCAAAACATCAACGCACAAAACAAATGGGAGTAAAAGTCCTAAGGGAAATAAGACCTCTTACTGCTTCTCTTGGCGAATTGTTTTTAAATATATGTTTTATTTAAAAAACAAACAAAAAAAAGTGCAATGGCAACTCTAAACTGGAAGCACAAACAACAGACAGGGAAAAATAAATAATGATACTACAGTAACCAAGGACTGATGGAAAAATTGATTGTACTCAGCCATAGTGTTACTGTTCACCATAAAGCACAGCACGTGACAAAGCAAAACAGTTACTAGTAGGATAGTACTGTAAAAGGCTGCATGCTGAACTAAGAAACAAAGAAGCAGATGTGATTGATTGCTTAAAAACAAAGCTGAAAATCAGAATGAAGTTCCTGCTTTAGGATACTTGGTTTTTTCAGGTCTGGTGGGCTATTTCCCAACCTGGGGCAATAGTGCTTTGCCAGCATGGAAAAATCCATGGCTTCCAAAGATCTGGGGTCACTCTGTGGATTTTTGCAGAATTATCCAAAATCAAAGCATTCATTCATTTATATTTTGTAAAAAATATAGTTTCTAGCCCTTCTGGTTACAAAGCTCTTTTGGAGACTGAACTGAAACCTTTGTTTATAAATCTGTGCTGGCCAGGCAAGACAAATAGTAGTAAAAGAAGCATGAACTTCTCAAAGTTACAGTAGTAGGGCAACAAGTTTGCGGCCGCCTCAGGGCCACTGAAATGCCCTTGTTTTTAACCCTGTCACTGCTGGTGGCTATATTGCAAACGTCCAGCTAGTCGCGCTATCTGCGGAGGTTGGCTGGGTATACATGTCAGCTTGACAGGGTGTAGAAATATAAGCTTCAAATAGACAAACAACTGAGGAGTCTATTTAGCATTTGCCCTTAAAATGTCCTTAAACATTAGGGCTGCTGTAGCCACCAGCTCAGAAGCACTGGACTCCTGCGGCCCTGTGGGCAGGAGAGTTTGGGTTTTATAGAAAACTTGGTCCAGCAGCAGCAAAGGCGATTCAGTTTACTGTCATCATATCCCTTGCAGTTGTCCCCTTGCGTGTCAGAGTGAAGAATGGCATCAGGATGCAAAGAAAGGGCTATGTGAAACGAGGCAAAAAAAACCATCTCCCCTTCCAGGAGCCCCAAACTGCAATTCCACAGACTTTCCCCAAATCCCTCACAAATGTCCATTGCCTCAGTTTTTGCTTTTAAGACCCTTGTTGACTGTGAAATGAATGAAGATACAAGTTAGTTGGTGACCTGCCTGCCTACAAAGAGAGAAAAGATCAAATGCTTTTGGTATTTCCTTTACAGAAACAGGAAGAATCATAAAACATTTGGGGGTGAAGTGTGACTCCCTCCAAGAGAGAAATTATTAACGGCATTCAAGCACTGACATTTTGCTTCTGAAAAAAATAATCCATTTCAATTTGAAAATGCATTATCCTTTTGTGTTCAGAAAAGGTCCTACAGGACAGTCAGTTCAAGAGATCTTTCCCCAGGAGTTCATCATGATTAAATAGAGGCAAGGGAGAGGATTAAATTGAGAGAAAAACAAGCTGACAACTACAATTTAAGGAATTATCTTTCTTGTCATTAATAATAGAGAATCTGTTGTGGAAAAGGGATAATGCAACTTGATGGTCCTCTTTACATTTTACAGTCACACAAGGGTGTAAATATTTAATCTTTCAATTAATTAATCTTTACAAAATATCTCACAAAAACATTTTTTACCTATAGAAATTAGTTTCTATACATCAATATATTTTTTATTTTTATAAATTATTCCATCTTTAAGTGCCTTCTATCAATATAAATGATAAAATAGACAATCAAAAATTTTAAAGCTTTTCCCAGTTGTATCCCTCCTTGTCAATGTACGTGCCGTGAATCCTCATACGTGTGTGTCTGCATGGGAATGTGTTTGTGTGCACGTGTGTGTGGTGTGAAATGCTTCCATCCTCTCCCACTCCCAAACTCCATTAAAATAAACTATGTTATTAGTTCCTGATGCAATAGTGTTTCCAAAGGGGGGGAAAAAAAAAGAAATACTTGACTTGGTTTCAGAAATCAAAAGATGTGCATAGTTACCAAAGTCGAGGTGTACCAACTACAAATGTGCAATGACAAGCTTAGAATAGGACCTACCTCCCAGTCAAGTCAAAGAGCGTCCAGCCAGTGACTTCAGTAGGAAGTGGACCGAGTACTCCGAGCTTGATTTTGCAAGGTGCCGGTGGCCCTGATCTAGCAAAACGCTTAAGCCTGTGCTTAGCTTTGAGCACATGAATAGTCCTACTGGAACTGATGAGACTGAACAGCATAGGGAAGGATCACAAGTGACTCCAAGTCAACAGGCTACTCGTGTAGGAATTAGGGTCAAGTGCTGAGCGCCTTGCAGGATCAAGCCCTATATGAGGTTCAAGAGCTGGGAACTTCTCTTTAAAGCAATCAACACACTGAGCTCAGCCATTGAAATCGATCAGAATGTCCGCATGGGCACAGGAGGTGGCTAGCTCCCCGTGACAGAGGGTCTCCGTGTCAGAAGTTTATACCTACAACTGGTGCTCTGAGCACACAACAGATTTGCTTTATATGGTAGAAGTCTTTTTGTTCCTACCCTTTGACCCATCAGTGTCCTTCATGGCTTCAAACACTTTGTGTTGTACATTCATCAAAATTCACATTGACTGCAAAGAACATAAATGCAACAAAAACAGGAAAGCCTCCAAGTAGTATATTATAGTTTTCTTCTAAATATTCTCCCATTGTAATCAGAGGTGCAGTGGCTAATTTATAATTTTTCCTTTGAAGGAATCCAGATGAAAGGCCCAGATTGTTCTTCAATTACAAGTTTGCATTGATTATATATATCTTCTAAGCTATCTCCTTGGACAATAGCTGCAGTAAGAAAACACATCAATATTTCTTTTAATTGATACATTCTATAGCATCCAGTTTCATCAGTTCTTCAGTTTACTCACAGATAGTGATGAAATAAGGAATGCTAGAATACTGTGATGTTACTGATGGCAACTAAGTTCAAACCAACAGTGCCTTCCGATGACAGAGACCCATCCTGCTGCTTGTAGTGAGACGACTAAGCTATGTTAGCTTGGGGAGCTAACAGCACTATCTAATGGGAGGGCAGTGTGGTAGGTTTGTTGCAAGTCAAACTTTACATTTAATTTGGTTTAGAAGCTACTCCAGCAGTGAGTAACTTCAGCAGACTTACAACTTATTCTTTTCCTGATCCAGTTACAATAAACTAACTCTGCAAAATTTAACTAGAGCAGGCCCAAACTGACAGAAGATAAAGCAACTGCAACACAAAGCACAGGGTCTATACCCTTAAATTCCTTGTCCTCCCAGCCGAAATCTGGAGCTGCAATTCAGATTATGTCAGCACATGGAAGGACAACTGGGGACTTTTGAGTGTTATCCATAAATACAAGTCCCCTGAGTAGAGAACTGCCTAAATACACACAAAGGAAATGCTGGGGCTCAGAGCAGGTCTTAAATCTTGCTCTTCTCTGTGTCAGGAA